AGAAGAAAGTCCTTTATATCGAGGATATATTTGATATGAAACCTCCATCTAACGAACTATAAAGAGAAGAAAGTCCTTTATATCGAGGATATATTTGATATGAAACCTCCATCTAACGAACTATAAAGAGAAGAAAGTCCTTTATATCGAGGATATATTTGATATGAAACCTCCATCTAACGAACTATAAAGAGAAGAAAGTCCTTTATATCGAGGATATATTTGATATGAAACCTCCATCTAACGAACTATAAAGAGAAGAAAGTCCTTTATATCGAGGATATATTTGATATGAAACCTCCATCTAACGAACTATAAAGAGAAGAAAGTCCTTTATATCGAGGATATATTTGATATGAAACCTCCATCTAACGAACTATAAAGAGATGAAAGTCCTTTATATCGAGGATATATTTGATATGAAACCTCCATCTAACGAACTATAAAGAGAAGAAAGTCCTTTATATCGAGGATATATTTGATATGAAACCTCCATCTAACGAACTATAAAGAGAAGAAAGTCCTTTATATCGAGGATATATTTGATATGAAACCTCCATCTAACGAACTATAAAGAGAAGAAAGTCCTTTATATCGAGGATATATTTGATATGAAACCTCCATCTAACGAACTATAAAGAGATGAAAGTCCTTTATATCGAGGATATATTTGATAAGAAACCTCCATCTAACGAACTATAAAGAGATGAAAGTCCTTTATATCGAGGATATATTTGATATGAAACCTCCATCTAACGTTATATGAAGGTTTTACTATATATATATATATATACATTATGTTCTGTGTTCCGTCGTAAGAACACTGATCAATAATATGTAGAATATGTAGCATAAATTAGTTCATTAATATATTAGAAGTAAAATAGTCCCACAGTTATAGAAGCTTTACAGGAAACTTCTGCCTTAACTGTTAGTGTCAGTTTTACGATAATTTGTACATTTTAATTGATGTAATAAAAAGAAATATGTGAACACATTTAGAGGCCAGCAAGAGTCATATCTCACAGGAGAGTAAAACACAAATAACAATCACATTTGGGCGTATTCCAGTTGTTACCATTTTTATTCTATTATTGTTACAAATTAATTACCTGACTATATTATTCGCTGAGTTTTTCGCTAACTCACCTGACGCTTTGTTAACGAGGAGTGTCAGTAGAGACGAATAATGTAGTCATGGAACTGTAGGTCACAGGGGAACTTATACAGAGTAATGACAAAAATAACAGCTTATTCCTGATAAAGAATATACTTTAAAATACCTCTGATATATATCCAACAATTTCTCATTCTTTCACACGCTGGAAGATGCAATACTGGTCATATAAGTGAAGTGTGTGTGTGTGTGTGTGTGTGTGTGTGTGTGTGTGTGTGTGTGTGTACTTAAGGAAAATGGGTATTCACCATGAGTGGTGTTCAAGGGGCTGCTGTAATAGATTAATACCAAAACAATTTCATACAAGATCATGTTCGTTCTTCAGTTCTCTATGACACTTGAGTACAACATCTACACACGTAAACCTCTGGACTGTACACGCTCTGGTAGTGCGTGTACATCAATGAACAGAAGAGAACTCGTGTAATCACTCATCTATTGTGTTGGCTCCTACATAACAAATTCATACAGTAAATATACAACTTACAGGTAGAAAATATAGAATTTGAATGTTATTAATTGTATGATGGTGAGAATCATAATAACCGAGTTACAAAATAATAATTACAAGGATATACAGGATGTGTGAAGGAGAAGTACTGTACAGTGTTAAGTTGTTCTCTGGTGATACGAGTCATACAAGGTAATGTAAAAAAATATAAATACATGGATATGGCGTTGCACATCTGAATGAAAATTACAAAATTAATTAACTGTTTGTTCTGTATTTTCACGTAATAAATGTGATTTGTACAAAATACAGGAGATATGATACAGTATATAAAAATGAGAGGAACAAAAATTATAACCCTTTATTGTATGGTGAGGTGAGTCTTGAAGCAAAGTGTACTAAACCAAGATTACACAGACAGATCACTGCAGTATGTGTGAATGGAAGTTTAAAGACAAAACTTAACAATTGCTGAGGAAGTGAGATATTTTTTATTAACCCTTCGAGTACAATGTTAACCTCTTGAGTACGATTACTTAACTTATCGTAGCCAGGGGGTAAACTCAACGTGCTCAAGGAGTTCATGAAAACATTGACCATAACAATGATTGGAGAATGGACAGTACATGTGGGTTATCCTACGACAGGCAGACGTTTGGCTTCAGAGTTTGAGAATCCTGCAACAGATAGTGGCTGTGACGAGAGACACCGTGGTGAGTGATGTGACAGTAGCTTCATTCAAGAAGGTACTTCACACTGAGGTCATAAGGAGCTCTTTGGCAGAGGTCAGAGTTATTCTAATCCCCTGAGATCAGAAACATAAAATTACTTAATGGCTGTGGTTATGGAAAAACTTTGTATCCCTTTATCGTGGTTCAATGGTAAGGTTAGTTTTTATGTGTGAGGTCTGACAGAACTCTTTGCTGAGATCATGGACACTCATTATTTTGGTGGCTGAGAACAGCAAGAGCTCAGTCGGTGGGAATGCTGAGAGTCACACTGAGGGAGGTGTGTGCAGGTCTTCAGGAGGCCTGGGTCATACGGAGCTCTCTCGCCGGCATACATCAGGGTGAGGGGGAAGATGGTAGCTTCGTCTTCCTGATGGACTGATTTTACTTTGCCCGCCTCCCTGGGCTAAAAGGGAGGTGGTTGAAGGAAGATTTTGCGCTTGAGGACTGTCAACTAACACTGCATCTTTTCCTCTTGCCTTTTTCAAGGCCTTTGCTTTGCTGTTTCTCGAAGCGGCTTTTGGAAGAGTTACTGGATGGGTTGATGGAGGAGTTGCGTGCCTCTCAGATGAGTCTGACACTTTAACACTGGGGAACACAGGAGTACAATGTCTGCCGCCTTTCACATTTTCCGTCTCTGATGGTCTTCTTGTTACTAACAAAATTTCTCCGTGTTCACCTTCTACGAGAGTAACTGATTTACCCTTTTCTGTTCGATCGTGACCACACTGTTGACCTTGATCATGGGTAAAGAAGTCTTTGGATGTAGGTACGAAATGAACGTCTTTGGTTGATAAGGGTCGCGAGATTTTACTTGTTTTTGAGGGCTGGCAGCGACTGGGTGCCTCATCTCTTGATCTCCGCCCTGAGATGGGATGTAACCTTGGAGACTCTCCTGGTGAGATAGGAAGGCATATGACTTCTCTCTGTGTTGACGGAGACCGAACTCCGCAGCTTGATGCAGGGCGTGAGGATCCACAAGAACCAATCGTCGATCTCAGCTCTGTGATTGCAGACGGAGACCGCACGTCAGAAGGCGAGGCTCTTGCTGACCTCACTTCTCCTGTGGAAGAAGGAATGAGTCGCAATTCCCTACATGAGGCTGGCATCAAGCACAGCTCTTCAGCGGACACCGGTGAAGCCCTGTACTCTTTAGAGACGAAAGGCTTTAGTCGAACTTCCATAGGTGAATTTTTAGATCGTAGCTCTCCTGAGGACGAAGGTTTGGTCCTGAGGTCGAGGTGAGCAGGCGGTACCAGGCGCACTTCCGTGTCGGGGGAGGCCTGTGGCAGAGGCTCACCTCTAGAAAAAGTGACATACGCTCGACCGCTGTCAGGATGTTGTCGAATGACGGCTGCTACCTGGTCCTCGGACATCAGCTCCCGCAGCTCTGATTCTGACTCTGACTCAGAGACTCCCGAGTCGTCGCTTTGTGTATCACTGACGAGAACCTCCTGACGAGGGAAAGAGAGGCTGTAATCAATTCATCTAATTCAATACTAATTATGATCAATCCAATGGCCAACCTCTATTTACATAGGGGTTCACACACACACACACACACACACACACACACACACACACACACACACACACACACACACACAAAGTTAATATCTTTCATTTTTACAGCTATGAAGGAGAATAGAATAATAGTATCAATATTACCTGTACTAAATAGTGGGTCCACACTACCTGGCCATAGATATAGTCAACCATTATAGCATCTCACCTGTCTGTCTCTGCTCTCCTCGGACATTGCGCGGTGACCGTGGTGATGGGGGTCTCTGCTGTACCGTAGGTGTCCGCACGAACACGTACCACCGGCATCTCCCTGCACATACACTTGTCCCTCTACATGTACGTGCGGACTATCATCACTTGTTCTGTGTATGTACGCACAAAACTCTCGTGGCATGTGAGTCTGTGAGTCGTCGTCGTGCTCGGCATGGAGGTGCTCGTGTTCGTATAAGCGTTCCTCGTCGTCATCTTCGTCGGGGTCTTGAGGGATAACGTCGAGGCTGGGCGGTCGTCTCTGTATAGAGGCCACAACATCGGGGTCAAAACCCTCCCCCAATGTGGGCGTCAATGGCACTTCGGGAGCGACGGGTTTCTGCGTGCGTGGTGAACGGGTGCGCACCCTTCTGGCTATGATCACGCCCACCACCAGCAGCACTAGCAGCACTCCCACCAGGCCCAGAGCGGCACCGAGGATGGGCGGGATGTCGACTACACCGACCGCATCTGAGGAAGAGTGACACTAGTTGGTAGGAATAACTGTATTACACTAAGATGAGGATTTTCTTCAAGGCTTTAGGGTGTATTTTATGTTCTTCATTTATAATCATATGCATATGGGTATATTTTGTTTAATTGATCTTCCTGACTCTCTTTTTACCTGTACCCACACACACACGCACACACACACACACACACACACACACACACACACACACACACACACACACACACACATAGTTTTATGAATATAATTATCATTCACTGCTCCATGTATTTTCTAACTAATCGATCCATCATTAAACATTCACCAGGAGTGGCGTACATGAGTGGCATGTCATGGTGGTGACACTAACAATGTATGGATGACTGACACTTAATAAACTTTAGTCGATCCATTTGCAATAACCAAGTGAGCAAGAAGGATATGAAAATAAATAAACTTTTAAATGAGTAATTTCCTACACAGCCGAGCAATAAGGCAATTGTACCAAAAATTAGATCTAGTTAATAGAGCAAGATGTGAGTTAAGAGCTCACAGTGCCAGTGTAACCACAAGCTTATCATATTACTGTTAATAATTTGTATACCATGTCTTGCTAACTACCTCTGTTTACTCCTTAACCACGATATTTAAACCTTTTCATACTCAAAGGGATAAATTAAGGTACACATTATCAAGTGTGTACAGAACGCAGGCCATACCAGGTGACATTGTTAACCAGATAATAGGTAATGCAGGTCGTTAGATATTAAGTGAAAAAGACCAAGTTATGTCAGGAACACTAAGTCATAGTATATATCTGATAAGTCAAGTCAAGGTAAGTCATTTTATACAAAGTAAGCCAGGTCAAAACAAGCTATAGGTAACTAGGTAAAGGTACACAAGGTAAGCCAGGTTAGAATAGGCTACATAACCAAGTAAAAGTGAACTAGGTAGGTCAAATCAAAGTAGCTTAGGTAAACCAAGTTATAGCATACACCATGGCGTCAGGTGAGGTAAGGTCATGTCAAACTCACCAGGGGCGGCGTGGTGCTGGGCGCTGGTAGTGTGTACCTCCATGACCAGGGGCTCTGACTTACCGCGGGCGTTGTGGGCGATCACATTCAACATGACACCCACGCCCGCCTGCAGCTCCGTCACTACCCACTCCGGAAACTCACTGTGGACGGAAAAAAGTATTAAGTAACGAGTATAACAGCTGAGTGAGGAGGACTACTTTCCTACCTGGCCAAAAAATATGACTTAAAGGTTTTATAGTTGTATTTGATAGTTTAATTTAACGCCAAAACTCGTAGCTCATATATGGGGGAGTTTTATATTGATGTTTCCTTCGTGAAATATTGTTTTTTTTCTGTTTTTCCCGAGTGTTGTACAGTCAGGATTGGTACTGTTAGGTAGATGGTGCTGGGGAGGTTACTGGTAGATGGTGTTGGGGAGGTTACTGGTAGATGGTGTTGGGGAGGCTACTGGTAGATGGTGTTGGGGAGGTTACTGGTAGATGGTGCTGGGGAGGTAGATGGTGTTGGGGAGGTTACTGGTAGATGGTGTGGGGAGGCTACTAGTAGATGGTGTTGGGGAGGTTACTGGTAGATGGTGTTGGGGAGGCTACTGGGAGGTTACTAGATGGTGTTGGGAGGTTACTGGTAGATGGTGTTGGGAGGTTACTGGTAGATGGTGCTGGGGAGGTTGCTGGTAGATGGTGTGGTGGGAGGGCTGGTAGATGGTGTTGGGAGGTTACTGGTAGATGGTGTTGCTGGTAGATGGTGTTGGGGGTTACTGGTAGATGGTGTTGGGGAGGTTACTGGTAGATGGTGTTGGGGAGGTTACTGGTAGATGTGTTGGGGAGGTTACTGGTAGATGGTGGGGAGGTTACTGGTAGATGGTGTTGGGAGGTTACTGGTAGATGGTGTTGGGAGGTTACTGGTAGATGGTGTTGGGGAGGTTACTGGTAGATGGTGCTTGGGGAGGTTACTGGTAGATGGTGTTGGGAGGTTACTGGTAGATGGTGTTGGGGGGTTACTGGTAGATGGTGCTGGGGAGTTACTGGTAGATGGTGCTGGGGTTCACTGGTAGATGGTGCACAGATGGTGTTGAAGTTACTGGTAGATGGTGCTGGTGAAGGGACTGGTAGACTGGGGAAGTTACTGGTAGATGCAGAAGTCACTGGTAGATGGTGCTAGGGAAGTTACTGGAGATGGTGCTAGACTGTGGCAGATGGGTGTTGGGGAAGTTATGGTGCTGAAGTTACTGGTATGGTTGGGGGAAGTTACTGGTAGATGGTGCTGGGGAAGTTACTGGTAGATGGTGCTGGGAATTACTGGAAGTGGTAGTTGTTACTGGTAGATGGTGCTGAAATTACTGGTAGATGGTGCTGGGGGAAGTTACTGGTAGATGGTGCTGTAGATGGTGCTGGGGATGTTACTGGTAGATGGTGCTGGGAGGTTGCTGGTAGATGGTGTTGGGGGAAGTTACTGGTAGATGGTGCTGGGGAGGTAGATGGTACTGGGGAGGTTACTGGTAGATGGTGCTGGTGCTGGGGAAGTTACTGGTAGATGGTGATGGGGAAGTTACTGGTAGATGGTGTTGGGGAAGTTATTGGTAGATGGTGCTGGGGGAAGTTACTGGTAGATTGTGCTGGGGGAAGTTACTGATAGATGGTGCTGGGGAGGTTACTGGAGATGGTGCTGGGGAGGTTACTGGTAGATGGTGCTGGGGAGGTTACTGGTAGATGGTGCTAGGGAGGTTACTGGTAGATGGTGCTGAGTTACTGGTAGATGGTGCTGGGGAAGTTACTGGTAGATGGTGCTGGGGAAGTTACTGGTGGATGGTGCTGGGGAAAGTTACTGGTAGATGGTGCTGGGGGAGGTTACTGGTAGATGGTGCTGGGGAATTTACTGGTGGGTGGTACTGGGGAAGTTACTGGTAGATAGTGATGGAAGTTGACTGGTAGATGGTGCTGGGGAGGTTACTGGTAGATGGTGTTGGAGATGTTACTGGTAGATGATGCTAGGGAAGTTACTGGTGGATAGTGATGAAGTTACTGGTAGATGCTGCTGAGGGAGGTTACTGGTAGGTGATGCTGGGGGAAGTTACTGGTAGATGGTGCTAGGGAAGTTACTGGTAGATAGTGATGGGGAAGTTACTGGTAGATGGTGCTGGGGGAGGTTACTGGTAGATGGTGCTGGGAGGTTACTGGTAGATGGTGCAAGGAAGTTACTGGTGGTGATGGTGCTGGGGAAGTTACTGGTAGATGGTGCTGGGGAAGAGAAGTTGCTGGTGGATGGTGCTGGGGAAGTTACTGGTAGTTGGTGCTGGGGAGGTTACTGGTAGATGGTGCTGGGGAGGTTACTGGTAGATGGTGCGAGTGGTAGATGGTGCTGGGATAAGTTACTGGTAGATAGTGTTGAAGTTACTGGTAGATATTGCTGGAAGTTACTGGTAGATGGTGCAGGCTACTGGTAGTTGGTGCTGCCTGGTAGATAGTGTTGAGAAGTTACTGGTAGATATTGCTGGGGGAGATTACTGGGGGAGTATTGCTAGATGGTGCTGGGGAAGTTACTGGTAGATGGTGCTGGGGGTTATTGCTGGTGCTAGATGGTGCTGGGGAAGTTACTGGTAGATGGTGCTGGGGAAGTTAGTGGTAGATGGTGCTGGGGAAGTTACTGGTAGATGGTGTTGCGAGGAAGTTACTGGTAGATGGTGTTGAGAAGTTACTGGTAGTTGGTGTTGAGAAGTTACTGGTAGATGGTGCTGGGGGAAGTTACTGGTAGATGGTGTTGCCTGAAGTTACTGGTAGATGGTGTTGAGACGTTACTGGTAGATGGTGTTGAGAAGTTACTGGTAAATGGTGTTGAGAAGTTACTGGTAGATGGTGTTGGGGGAAGTTACTGGTAGATGATGTTGAAAAGTTACTGGTAGATGGTGTTGAGAAGTTACTGGTAGATGGCGCTAAGGAGTTTAATGTTTGGTATTATCCAACCTGTAAAGTATAGAGTCACTGTTTCGGCCGTCAGTCAAGACCGAGTACCTTCACCTCTCTCAATATAACCACTGACTACGCCTGGTATAGTCTTTACCACCGAACACGACTCAACATTATAAACCTCGCTTTTCAGGTGTAAATTAATTGGCTTCTGTATTTTTTTCATTCGCCATTATAAAATACACCCTCCTCCCTCCTCATTATTTGCACTGTAGCTCTAATTGTGACTCTAATTGACTCTAACTAGCAAGGTGGTAATGCATATCGTGTCGTTAATTATTCTCAGAGTTACCGACGAGGGCGACAAACCTCTGATGTTCTGTCTTTAATTTAATTTTGGGGTGAATATCTGTTTATGGGAATTTTTGTTGGAATACTAAAGAAATAAAGGAACTTTTACAATCAGAGCGTTATTACAACATCGGGTTTGAGGGGATTTTATTTATACAACATTTATTATTGAAATGTTCTTTTAGTTTCAGGATCCAGTGTGGGAAATGCGATGTAAATGTTTTATTTTTATATAAAACTTGCAAATATTTTATGAGAGGCATAACGGTACAACCAAATGTAACTTATCCTACTTGATCTACTTTAGTTAAATTTAGGTTGATTTTGATTGGTTCGTTTTCAAAGAAGCACAAGTCTCTACAGAGTCAATGACGGAAACCATTTTAAGGATCGGAAAAATTATAAAAAAGTACCAATATATCCTTTCTTATTTCAGCTAATGAGGGATACAGCAGCCACAACACAAGCAGGACACACGCAGGCAATGTGGTCGGGAAGGTTGTCGACCACCTCCACAGCTAGGTGAACTAGGGTCGAACCAGCTTTCTTTAGGATAGGAAACAAGAAGCGCATCCCAAAAGCACTTATAAATATGTATAAGCCTCTGTATATTTAGAGCATTTCTGTTATGATGCTCCTGTTATAGTACTCCTGTTATGAAGCTGTTGTTCTCTCACCTGGTCATGTTGTAGACGAGTTGACCCTCCTGCCACGTTTCCATCTGGAAATGTTGAGGGAGGCCTCCATCGAAACCTTCCACACAGGTGATGGATAGGGAAGCGGTGTGGGGGTGGGAGTGGGTGGAGGGCTTGCCTGGAGTAGCAGAACAGTTGGTGGGCGTGTCGGGCGGGCCTGCGGGCACCAGGTTCACCACACATGAGGTGGTTTGGCGCCCCACAGCGTTGGATGCGAGACACAGGAGTCTGCCATAGTCGTCAGGCGTGTGGGGCGTGAGAAGGACGCTGGACGTGAGGCCGTCACTCGTTATGTTGGCTTGTGGCACCGCTTGGTCGCTGCCGTCAGCCCGCTTCCTGATCCACGTCCAGGTGAGATCATCGTCAGGCTCTGCCTCCACCGTGCACTTGACGGCCGCCATAGTACCCCGGGCGGCTCCCTGGGTTCTCTCCCGTTTATCTCCGGCACACATGGGCGAATCTGGGGGGAGCACGGGGTGTCAAGGCTAGCTAGTAAGGGGTAATGTCATTAACAGTATGATATGTAAAATAAATGAGGATTTCCAGGCGGTGCTGGGAGACCAAACATAATATATTATGATCAATATCATGAAAGAGAAACAGCATTCATGCAGTAAACTCCAATAGCTACCTTGTTTAAATTTGCAGCAACAAACATGTAAATAAAAAATAAGCTTTATTGTTCTTAGTATTTCTACTATGATATTGGAAAAAAAATATTTATCTTATATTATGTGTGTTGTGACACGTCATAAACAGAAATAAAAACTTCTATTTCCAAACGACCGGTAAGTCAAGACATTAAGCGATAAGAGTAATAGCTTCCCGCTTTCTTTTCTAGTCACACGCAAAACAATTATCCTCTTCATGAAACAAGAAAGACTTCACAACACAGCTATAAAGACCGCTAACACATCTCCTGAACACCGAGGCCACAACTTGAACTAAATGATGTATGTGTTGAAACAATACAGTTCTACTAATGAGCCAACTAGACCTCCTCTTCATATTATTTCATCAAAATTACAGTAGGAAACCGCACAAAACACAGCAACACCCCCTTACCCCAACTAACATCAACACTAAGTATCCTAAGATGACTCAACTCCAACATTTTTCTGTACATCATCATCTCTCTCTCTCTCTCTCTCTCTCTCTCTCTCTCTCTCTCTCCGGATCGTGGGTGGTGGGGTGTCCTCAGCGGGTCACCTGGGTACTCCTGGTGCGCGGCACTCACACCCACTGGTAGACAAATAGTCACAGGTGGGGACCTAATGCCTGGCAGCAGGAGGTCTGGCGCCACTAAGACGAGAAAGGCCACCTACACCACACATCACTGAGGAGTCCTTGGTATATTGGTGAACTAATACCGTGTTATTGATCCAGGCCCCCACACACTGAGCCCTCTCACCTTATCTGAAGTTTATGCTGATCCTAGAAGTGATACGTTCGCATTCGTTTTAAATTTCTCTGAATTATTCTTGGGCGAGGTGGTCAAGTGTGATGTACTTACTCTTACCTGGATGACATACTAAACTGTTATTTGTTGAGTATTATTTTGATCTTGTGGTGATGATAATTTATATTTACTCAATTTGATCAGACAGCTGACAAAGTTATGAGATGCTTATTTCCAGTAGCAACTGGTGTTCCCAGGCGGCCACCATCCAAGCACTAACTGGACCCAACGATGTTGAAATTCGCTGATTGAACAAGAAGCAGTGTTTCCAACGTGATACTACTGTAGCTTGTCGCAGTACTGTATTTTCAGTTATAATGCATTTTATTTTATTTTAGTCTTCTAAGCCTTTATTTTAATTCGGCAACATATGACCCAAGCGTTTGCGTCGGCAGGGATGTAATTACCACAATCAGTCAACCAATCAACCAATCAATAAATAAATAAATAAATAAATAAATAAATAATTAAATAAATAAATCCATCAATCAAAGCAGTTTGTTTTCTTTTCACTGTGTAGTTATTTGAAGAATAACTGATATTGCTCGGAATGAGAGTGGATGGATATTAGAAGTACTTACAAGGCTATTAGGCGCACATAATACTGATACTCTCGCAAATATCATATTTAGTATTGTCTATAATATAGACGCTATATTATGCCACATTGGATCTGACTCAGTATATTAAAACATTATTAATCATCTCTTACTGCGGTATTATATTAAATTGCTATTAATAATACAGTTATTTCAATTATTTTCACAATATTCCACAAGTTCGATAATTTCAGGAAATGAAACGCCCCTAAACCTTCCCCAACTTATTGTTGCCACAACCCTCCCCAACACACCCCATTTCTCTCGCCAGTTCGTCTTGGCAACTTACTCAGCATTTTCAGAAATAAAACAAAACCTTAATACTGCATTCATAAATCAATTTCATCTGCTTTTTATTCTTTGTATGTCAATAAATAACTTTTCATATTGGAGCGGAGTCGATGGCATTATTTAGGGAACCAATGTCAACAGTATACTTGATTGAAATTTATTTTTGTGTCAAGTGTGTGGGGGCTCACCCTTGTACTTTTATACGCCTTTGTATGTACTGATCGTTGTACTTTACTGTGCAGTATACTGTAGCTGTACTTGTCAGCACAACCAATGTATAACATTCAGAATATAAACTGAGTCACTGCATACGCTGTGCTCGTTGTGGGTCCACCACTGCACTTTCTCTACAGCCTTGTGGTGACTGATCTTTGTATCTTACAGTACAGTCATCTCTAAGAGTTCGTGTCCTCGTCCTCGACAATCAGAATGAACCGCTGGAGCGAACCCTGCGAGTCTTCTAGTTCAGTTTTGATTTTCAACCCACGAGTTAAACAACACGGCGCCTAGTATAGTTGCAGGGAGTGTTCCAAAAGGTGGAGTCAATCATGCATGGTGACTTTATACACAAATCACTAATGTTAGAGCAAAATTAAACTGTAATATAAACATAATTATGAGAACAGTACTGTAGAAAATAATATTTGGTTATAATACTCCCTTATCGTGAATGTATAGAGAAACGTTACCATGCTACTATCCACATTATGTAGGGCAGTGGTTTGCAGCCCAGTTAGTGGCCCACATAATTGACCCTCCACCATTTCAGTGGACCACATAAGTGACCCTCCACCATTTCAGTGGACCACATAAGTGACCCTCCATCATCTCAGTGGACCACATAAGTGACCCTCCATCATCTCAGTGGACCACATAAGCGACCCTCCATTATCTCAGTGGACCACATAAGTGACCCTTCATCATCTCATTAGGCCACTTAAGTGACCCTCCACCATCTCAGTGAACCACATGGGTTCTAGATCAACGAATCAGGTATTTGGTAAATTCAAAGTGAAAGATACAATGGAAGTCTACTCACAGTGAGACAGGTTCATTCAGGAAAATGAAGCTCCGACACCTGCTTTGAGATGTTTTATGAATCAGTGTCATGAAGTCTTATATAAAGTGCCACAGTGAGAAGTGTTATAATATCAAAAGGTAAGCGGTCGTCATCATGGGTTGGATTGGTGAGGTTAATGTGTTATTTATGAGGATGTACAGTGAGGATGTAGTTGTTGTGAGCCGAAGTCAGACACAACCAACTGCTAAAAGTATATAATATTACCTTTTTCCCCTTCACTAAAAACTCTTATCAATCACTCCTTGAAAAAAAAATCGCACATAACATTTCACTTGGCCTTACTCGACGGAATACATGACATATTGTTATAGTTAAATGGGAAATAAGCAAATTTGTTGCCAGTGTGTTTACAATATGGCACATCAGTCCGCTCGCTTTCAGTGAAAACATAAGAGAGGATGGGGAAATTATTCGGAAAACGTCCACCACGATCTCTACAGTATATTGATTTGTATAAATGGAGACAAAGAGAGAGAGAGAGAAAGAAAAAAAAACATTGTTATTATTTCGGTCATGTAGCGAATTTTAGGATTTTAAGTTTTGGACTCAGTAGTTTAGACAATTTTAAGACACTTTTCTTCTATAGCGTTTCTGTCGTAAATTATATTTTTCGAGTATTTTAGTCGATAAAACCACCAACTTGTTTAAAGAGGGCAGGGCTTTGAAGTCGAGGGAAAATGTGGGGTAAAATGCTAAAAAATACTAAACAAGCTTTTGAAAACCTTACCTAACCTTTCCTAACTTGTAAAAATGTTAAGAATCACATATAAGTTTATGGATCCCATCTCATCTAAACACCGAAAGCAGCAGCAGCACATACTAAAAACAGAAAACAACACCATCACCTACTAAACACCGAATACATGAATAAGGTTTGGTCAGGTTTACAAAAGTTTGTTTTGTGTTTTTATTAAAGTATTTTACCGAAACGATAATTGAAAACAAAGAATAAAATAAGGTACTTATTGATGACTGACCCGCCACCGACTTTTCATAGAAAACGATTTTAAAAACGCAGCAATTTCACCTTCTCTTTTTTATAGTGGACACTGTTGTAGTTTCGGCAAATGTGTTAAAAATTCGTTATTTCTAAATTAAACCTAACCTAACCTTAGTTGATCTGAAAATCAAACATCAAAAGCATTGTTAGTAGACCTCACCAACCTAACCAAAGAAACCTTATCTAATTTCCTAGCAGTGGGGCTCTGCCCCCCCAGCATATTAAACAGAAAGAACTTACTATGAGATGATGTAATTTTACGTTTTTTGTGGACGTGAGAGCAGCTACTCAGACCGTGTGGCTAATAACCGTACACTGGTGTCGATCGGAGCACGTCAATACAATTGGCTTCACCATCTCATTACCACCAAGTAGAAAATTTAGTGCGCACCAAGAGGCCTAATTAGCTACCGAACTAATAATTTTCCATATTTATATATATATGTATATATATATATATATATATATATATATATATATATATATATATATATATATATATATATATATATATATATATATATATATATATATATATATATATATATATATATATATCAGAACTCGCTGATGAAAATATAGTAAGAATATAAACATCCAAACAAATAATGAGTAGGCGGGTTAGTCATAAATATTAACCAAAGTAAAATTACTTTACTCAATAGCTCTATTGTCGTAAAGGTATTTTTTCGATTTTTTTGTAATTTTCGATTTCATTAAAACTGCAATTGTGATCACACAAAGTGGGCATGGCTTTGAGGTAGAGGGATATTGTGTGGGTAAAAACTTGCAAAACGGATAAAATCAGACCTAACGAAACCTATCATAATTATCACAGAAAATATTAAAACGTAACATTTAAGAACACGTCTCTGGGTTAAGGATCTGAGTTAGAAAACTTCTCAACAGAGGTAAATTTTTATTTAGTTTATTAAGAATATCCCAAAAATGGTGGAGGAAATAAACTCTTACCAAAACAAACAAAAACATCAAGAACCAAACCTAACGACTCTCAGATAATAGTGTACAT